TGGGTGTACTTTTCTAAAATTTTCCTTTCCTATTAAATTCTCTTTTCTACCTATTTTTATTGTGGTTGTAGCTTTATTTCACGCTAGGGACAGGTTGCTAATTTTAGTAATCTGGACCCAAAAAAAAACAAGGACCTCACAACACAACTCAACACTCTCCCATCCTATGACATTACCACTGCAGAATTTTCAGAAGTGTAAATGATCACACACACAAATTGATAAAATGTGTCAACTATGACATGAAGATATTGATGTACTAATGATGGAAAGTGAGTAATATCCATTGACCGAAGCTCATTGGCCAAACTTCCTCCAGGGTTGACTGACTCAGAATGGAATATGTTAGTGGCAATGATTACAAGACTTAACAATGTTCTTAGCTTGCACCAAGCATAATGGCTATGTCACTGGACTCCCATATAGTCGACCGCGGTTCGAGTCCCGGACCCGGTGGCTTAAAACTCACGCCAGGCACATGTGCGTGCCTGCCCAAGATCCCGAGAATGGAGGAGAAGGGATTGTGGCGTGACCATCCCCCCTGGGGGGTGATTTCTCTCTTTCTGTCTTATATCTCTCTCTGTCTGTCTGGCGAGCGCATGCACCCTATAGCGAAAACCTCTCTTTAAAAAAAAATAAAAGACTTAACAATGTTCTTAGCTTGCACCAAGGGCCGGTGAAATTGACAAGACAACATTTTTGCATTCTGGTGAAAAAAAATTGATGAGAGGCAATAGGGTCTGAAAAAAGAGGGTACACAGCGATGAGGAGTTGTAAATTTAAGTTGTCAGTCATGATCTATCTGTATGGAAGATGACTACTCCTCAAGTCTGATTATCATTGGTAAATAATGTAATGTCTTTTACAGGGAATTCAGAAAGTATAGAAATTAATTGCATATCTTTTAAAAATTGAAACCTAGAGTCTTTTGCGACTCTGTAGGCAAATAGTCCTAAATAGGCTGCCAAAGCACCTTGATATACCTCTCAGAAAGCTCCAGAAAACTTTGTTGATCTTCCAAGGAGCATGGTAGACATATTTTTGTGACATTCTGTCCAGTTAGGGCCAATGCTTGATTTCTACCTTTGTAGATAAGGGGAGCCAAATTATTATCAATGGTAGAATTATTTATTTCCCTGAAAACTGGACCAAATGAAGCCATTCCATGATATACATCTGAGACTGTTGTATAGCTATTAGAACTGTAAAATAGTAGCTGTGAGCATGCAGAATTACTAACTACAAAAAACTTTCCAGCTTAGGTACTTTATCAACAAAGATTTTCCCCAAAAGATCACTGATGTCCTGAAGTCTCTGTATTACCTTAGACATTATGGAAATACATTGTTTGACATTAGTAAACTCTTTCATAAGCACAAAGAAAGGAGCAAGCAGATCAGTGTGCAAAGGAAAATATGATCTCAGTCAATTAAGATGTCCTAGAAATTGTTGTAGCTGGACTATTGTCACTTGGGAAGGCAACTCCACAGGAGAAACGTTGGGTATAGAGTAGGCTTGGGTGAATTTGTAACCTTGATATTGCATAGGGTAATTAATCTGTATTTTCTCAGGTGCCACTTGTAAACCATTATTTTGTAAAATCTCCTTAAGCTTTCCTAAATGAGTAAAGTCTAAATCAGAGGCAGCCACCAAAATATCATCCATGTAATGATATACTGATGTTTAGGGTATAAGGCACCATAAGGAGCCAAGGCCTGCAATACAAAATCTTGACACAAGGTGGACTATTTATCATGCCCTGAAGGAGAAAGACCCAGCTGTACCTCCAAGCAGGAGATGAATTATTTAAAGCTGGAAGAATAAATGCAAATTTTGCTGTCTTCCAGGGTACAAAGGGATGAAAAAAAAACCCTTTAAATCTATTATAAACACATTAAAGTCCAAAGGAAAAAGGTTATGATTAGCCAGACCACATTGCAAAGGGCCCATAGGAACCACCAATTGATTAACAGCCCAAAGGTCCCGTAAAAGTCTCCATTTTCCTGACTCATTTTTAACTACAAATAGTGGTGTGTTATAAGGAGAAGTAGTTTCTTGTATATATACTGCCTTAAGTTGTTCTTCAATTAATGCCTCAGTAGCTTTCAATTTTTGTTTAGTTAAAGGCCATTACTCAACCCAGAGAAGGTCTTGGGTTTTCCAGGCAATAGGTAAGGCAGTTGTTACTGAGGCCACTACAGTAAAGTCATTTTAAGTTGCTGTAAAATGTGTCTACCCCAAATCACAAATAGTATCTCAATAAGAAACGGCTGAATTTTGGCTATAATATGATGAGGATTATCTGACTTAGCACAGTCTAAGGACACTTGACTGCAGTAAGCTGGCAAGGTGAAGCAAGTGCGACTCCATTTTGAAAACGTGCTTTCATCTTAGAAATTGTGTCTCCTTCTCCCACTCCCATTAAAGTAGATAAGATCAACAGAAGCCCTACTCTCAGGTGCCTTAAGGAACAATCAGTGACTAATAGACCTTGTCTGGAACCAGGGGAGCCATTAAGATTCCATTGTGTTCTGAACATGCCCTTAGGAATAATTAACCTGCCTGTAACTGGCTTTTTTCTTTTTCTTTTTCTTTCTTTCTTTCTTTCTTTCTTTTTTTTTTTTTTTTTACACTTGACTGCAGTAAGCTGGCGAGGTGAAACAAGTGCAACTCCATTTTGAAAAGGTGCTTCCACCTTAGAAATTGTGTCTCCTTCTCCCACTCCCATTAAAGTAGATAAGATCAACAGAAGCCCTACTCTCAGGTGCCTTAAGGAACAATCAGTGAACAACAGACCTTGTCTGGAACCAGGAGAGCCATTAAGATTCCATTGTGTTCAGAACATGCCCTTAGGAATGATTAACCTGCTTGTTTTGCTTCTGTAACTGGCTTTTTGCTTTAAAGAAAGAAAAACCCTATCCCCATCTCTCCTAAACCCCTTCACTTTGTTCCTTTGTTTTTGTAAATCGACATGTCATCTTGAGATAAATACTGATTTTAGACTATATAAATTCCTTCTCTCCTTTCACTCGGGGCTGTGGGGATTTGAGAGACATGAGTCCTCCCATATGCCGCCTGCTTAATCAATAAACTCCAATAAATTTGGCTATGTCTGGATGTCCTCATATTTGTCATTGAGTACACTATAACAGAGGTCCCCCCATTCCCCAGATTTCTTGGGTAAAATCTTTAGGCCATCTTTAGGGTGGCTTGAAACAGGAAAAACAGTCACATCCACTCCAGTGTCTAATAGATCAACAACCTTCGGATTATTCACCAGAAGTGTCAAGGTAGGTTTTTCTCGCTGGAATGGAATATTAACGTTTAAGATAGTAAATTCAAAACCTTGATTTTATCATAAAATATTTCCAGGGGTCAAAGACACATATGGTAACAATATTAACTGTGCAATAGATTCCCCTTTTTTTACTTCTTGTGGGAGAAAAGACTTATATTTTTATTATACCAGTAAAATCTGAATCAATGACTCTGGGTGTAACAAATAGTCCTCTTTTAAAAATATGGGACCGAGGGAGAATTAGCCCCATGTGTCCCTTCTTTAGAGGTCCTGATAGCTGACTGTTTATTAAAGAAACTTCTTTGGCAAACTTTAAAAAAGTTCTCTTGAGTAACTAAATCAATGCCAGCACTCCCAGCTATAGCATGAACAGAGTCATACATTTCTAGCCTAGTTGTCAGGTTACTGCTCTTGTCAGTTACTGGGTTGGACTGGGACAAGAGTGAAGCCCCTCCTTGGGTCTTGGGCCAGAGGCCTGCCCAGTATCATGTTTCCTGACACATCAGTAGAAGAATAGCACTGGTTAGTCCAATGAAAGCCTTTACCACAGTGATTACATTTTGAAGAAGGCTTCCTTTGTTTTTCCCCAAATTTCCTTTCCTATGCTCTTCCCCTCCCACACTCTCCTTCCACTTTGTCTCTAGTGTCCATACAATTTTTAATACTTTTATGTCCTCCAGACTTTCAGTCTCTACCATAGAGTGCACACGGTCAGTTAAGTGGAGACATACAATGTCTCTCTTTCATAGCCTGATTTGCTTCTCTCAGAAACAGATCTTCCATATT